ACAAAATAATGAATACACATGGATGATATTGTGATCTAATGTTGTCGCTTAATCATATACAAAAATACTTGTTATCGAAACTTTATTATTATGATATTGGTTGAAGAGTAATCGGAATACAACACAACAATGGGCGGCATTGCTGCTATCACTACATGAAATCAAGACAATGTCTTCGAGCTTTATTTGCCGAAACACAACACCTCTATCATTCTTCTCCGATCGATCTAACTACCATATGATACTACAACTGGAGCACGCATATAATGGAGACAAAATCAAACTAGATACCTTAGTTTTTTTTCTATCAGTGAGAATTCTACAGCAGCCACGATAAGAATAATATTTTATTATCAAGCTATTGTTGAAATGTGAAATACTAAAGCAGTAGCATGCTTTTATATACGTCCAAAAAACTTATTGAACGCTGTGCACTGAACCGTATACATGACGGATCAACAGATAAAGTTGAAAAAAAAGTACGTTGACTTTTTCTCACCAATATTTTTCCACCGATCACGCTTTTTTTCTACCGATATCTACTACCGTTTTGCTTATGCTCTACCTCGCTGTTCGAGCAGCTTAATCGATGCACATATACAGAAAAAAATCGTCTACACAATTTATCATTTCTTCACACAACCATAAGTAAAACATAATCATCATAATAATACATCTCTTATTCCAGATTTCACGACCCGAAGCGAACTAAAAAGCAATCATCGTACTAGTGGAAAACTCTTCGGAACTTCATGATACAAAACGAATTAAATTCTAACACTCTTAGTTGAGGAACATTGATTGAAATATAATCACCAACATCGAATGAAAAATTATAAACATAATTGAGAAGTAGTATTTGGAACTGTATGATTTGATGTCGAACTAGATACTATCATCGTGCTTCCGAGGCCTCATTTGCAGTTTTATCAACAAAAGTCTTTTCAACATTGCCACCATATTATAGAGGCTATTTTTGAAGATATATCAACAGACGTTCATTAACAACCTACCCCCATGCTTCAAAAGTGTACTTTTGAAGTTCATTCCACAATGTAGATTAAAAAACAATCATCGTCTTCACAAAACGATCATTTCGAATTCCATGACCAAAAGTGGACCATAAAGCATTTATCGCTGTTATCGAAATATTACTTTCACTTTCATTATTCATAGTCAAATAAAAAAGAATTCTCGCACTCATGAAATTGATCTTTGAAATATTGTGCCCTAAGATGCATCGAAAATCAACCACCAAAAGCCTTAAACGATGATTCCAAACTTTTCAGCCAACTAGATTAAAAAAGAAGTCATCGAACTATTAGATTATTATTTCAAATCTATAACCCGAAGTAGAATAAAAAAATCGTACGAAATCATCCCTTATTGCGAATATTATGATTCAAGGTGGATTGAAAATGAATCAGCGTCTTTGGTTTAGTTTTATTCACAGCTTCTTCACCTAATTCACTTTAAAAAATTCTTCTGCTACTTGATGTGTTTTAGAATTTTACCACCAAAAATCGATCAAAAACACAGCATCGTACTCAATACAACATTATTTGGAATATTATTAACCGGGATGCATTGAAAATCAATGATAAAAAGCCTTAAACTATTATTCGGAATCTTTTTACCAAACTTGATGAAAAGGCAGTTACCCTAACAATTGAAATATTAATTCAAGTTTCCAGCCCAAAGATACAATTAAAGCATCATCGTACTCAGTCAAACATTATTTAGAATATGCTGAACTAATATGCATTGAAAATCAGTCATCAAAAGCCTTTCAAATCATATTTGGAGCCTTTTCGCTCAACTGGATTAGAAAGGATTCATTCTAACAATTAAAATATTGTTTCAAATTTATACCTCAATATAGAATATTAACAAAATCGTACGCAATCACGTATTATTAAGTATTTTTAGACCTATGGTCGATCGAAAATGGGCCATCTTCTTTGGTAAATTTTTCTTAACAATTTCTTCACCTGAATCAATTTAAAAACAATTCCTCTACTATTTTAGGTATTTTTTAGAATTTTACGACCTGAAACGAATCAAAAATATGGCATCCAACTCAAAAAAAAACATTCTTTGGAATATTATAGACTGATATGCATCGAAAACTAACGATGAAAAGCGTTAAATTATTACTCCGAATGTTATCACCGAGCTGGATGGCAAAGCATTCATTTTAACGATTAGAATATTATTCTAAATTTCCAGCATAAAATTCAATCAAAACATTATCGTACTCAATCAAACATTATATCGAATACAATGAATTGGTATGCATTAAAAATCAATCATGAAAAGACTTAAACTGTTATTCCGAATTTTTTCAATCAAGTGAAACAAAAACAATTTATTTTAATGATCAAATATCATTTCAACTTTATAACCGAAAATAGAAAAGAAACTGTAGCAATCCTGTATTAGTGAGTATATTATGACTCAAAGTAGATTGAAAATGAATCATCGTTCTTGATAACGTTTTATTCGCAACTTCTTCACCTAAGTCAATTCAGAGAACAAATCTTCTATTACTCAAGGTCTTTTTTAGAATTTTACCAGCTGAAGTAGATTAAAAAACAGCATCATTATCAATACCAAATCATTTACAACGTTATGAACTCTGATACATTGAAAATGAATCATCAAAGACCATAAATTATTATTCGGAATTTTTTCACCCAACTGGACTATAACGAATTTATTCTAACGAGTGAAATATTATTTGCAGTTTCCAGCTCAAAAGTGCAGTCAAAACGTCATCGTACTCGATAAAAAAATTATTAAGAGCAAAGTGAAGTGAAATGAGTGGAAAATCAATCATGAAAAGGCTTAACCTATTATTGGGAATTTTTTCCGGAAACTAGAGTACAAAGAATTTAATCTAACGATTAAAATTCTATTTCAAATTTATAACCCAAAATAGAATAAAAAGAATCGTACGGAATCATGTATTATTGAGTAAATTATGTACCAAGTTGGATGGACAATGAATCATTGTACTGGATAATGTTTTATTCCCGATTTCTTCATGTACGTCGTTAAAAAAAAGAATTGTTCCACTAACTCATATATTCATTAGAATTTTAGCACCTTAAGCGGATTAAAAAAAGGCAGCATCGTGCTGAAAAAATATTACTTCGAATTTTATCATCTAGGCTGCATTGAAAATTAATCATCAAAAATTTTTAACTATTATTCGGAATTTTTCTATCCGACTGGATTAAAAAGCAATTATTCTACATATTAAACTATTATTTCAAATTTTCTGGCAAAATGCAAAACAACATCATCGTATTGCATAAAACATTATTTCGCATATTGAGAAGTTGGATGCATAAAAAATGACTTATGGAACTCCTTTAAGTCTTATCCGCATTCTTTCACCTACGTGGATTGAGCGGGGTGTGGTGAGTGTGGGTATTAGAAGATCGACACCCACACCCACACCCACACCCACACCACACACATCCACACCTCGCACCCAGACCTAGACCCACACCCAACACCCAAAACTTCATCCTCTAAATGTGCGAAACGTCTTTTTTAATAACCAACTTCTATCTATATATTTCAATTATAAGAAAATACTTACAAAACAAGGCACAAAAAGTTCAAGACTAGGCCTTTTTGAATGAGTGATATTTTGATCTTTTTATTACGTTGATTATTTTCATTTAAAATTGATAAAAAATTTTAAAAAATCAGCTGTTTTCTCCTAGGTAAAAATTTGTAAGCGTTTAGAACGAAATTTCGTTCCTAATATCACTTTTATCATATGGAAAAACTTCGAGAACTCGCTAGTTTTTACCGGTCTGGAACTATTTTTAGACCGGTTACAACTCTGTATTAAAAGACTTGTATGAAATAACATATCGTAAAAAATATTCTATTCCTTTAAAAACAGAATTCAGAATTGAAATTTTACGAATTTATCAAAGGTGAACAATCAATTTTCATGTTACAACGGCAAATACATCAAACATTATTAATTTGATTAACTATTCTTAAAAACAACACATTGTGACTAAAAGTACTCAAAACAAATATTCGAAGAAGCTTTTGTCTTACTACAAAACATTTTCTCTAGTATTGAACGAAAAAAAATATTTTTTGTTTCATTTTTTCCTTTTTCAACATTTTTATTTCTGAAATTTTGAGAACGTAATATTTTTCTATTTTAAAAAAGAATCAATTTTGTTTTTTCTTTATCAAGAAAACATTTTCATATATTTAGTCTTATGTTCACTGACATTATGACCATTGATAGAATGAACTAATCAATAATCTGAGTCATTTTTCTTCACTATCATATTCTCACTTGGACACATGATGAGAACTTATCTTTCCATTTTATGTTTTATCGAGCGATAATACAATACATTAATAAGATCAATCATTGACATCTAGTGGATGGTCTTCTAAAAAACCATCTCAAAAAGCATGTTCAAATTTTTGTCTTGCATAGAAGACTGTACGAACCACAAGTAGCAATAAGAAAATCATACCAACGAGAACATAAAGGGTGGTCCAAAAGTTTCGACCCCTCCTTAGTAAATCAAGAACCGATATGCAGTGACCAATGATATTCAATGAAATCTCTTGTACAACTCTTTTGGCTTTGTTATCGAGCACATGTAATAAAAGAAGCCAAACCTTTTTCGGTACAGTATTTTCAAACAAGAGTGATGGCAGATAACACTTAGCTTTCGCACTTTGTCCAAAAAAGAATCATGACTAATAGTTAATTATTAGAAGTAGTTTTCTTTTGAGTAACGAAAAAGATACATTAAAGATTTAAAATTTAGGTCTCTTAAATTTTGTGATATGATAATCGATTGAGAATAAAAATAAAGATAGAGAAAGAGAAAAAAAGAAGCAGAAGAAAACATTATTAAATCATGATAATAAGAGAGAATAGATAAAAAATAAATAATTTAATATAGTTTTTCGAAAGTAAACATGATTATTTCTTTCGTGTATTATTAACATGAGTTTGTACAACAAAATCGATCATAGTCGTGATAACATGTAAACATATCTATAAATAAAATAAATAAAGATACTTAATATTTCATATATAAGTAGCAACATTTTACCTGTCGGACATATTTTTTCACGGTCGCTCTTACTACCGTGTCCAAAACATTTGTTTTCTTTTGATTCTTGTTCATCACCAATTAAACCATCAGCCCAACAGTGATCTTTTACTGGAATTGATGGTGCAACAATACCAGGCAAAATAGTACAATCGTGCATGTCAGTAATTGCCATTGTCTGTTCACTTGCACCCATTCCTATGAATAATAGTCAAAAAAAAAACAATTAAATTACATTTTCAATCGACATGATCTCTGATTCTCTGTCTTACCATTTGGACAAGCTGATGAAAAATCCAATTTCCCACGACATTGTGACCAATAACAACGACTGATTTTTTCTGCACAATCATTGGCACAATATTCTTGTTTATTGAACGTATCACAAGATTTCCATTTACAAGTCTTTAAGTCTTTTCAGAAAAAGAAAAACAAATTTTTTTTTAACGTCAACAAAAAAAAACTCAATGATCGTTATTACCTGGTGGACATATTGAACCATCGAGTATTGAATGACATTTTCCCCAATTATTTTCATGACGTGCAATATATGTACAATCATTACAACAATATTCAGTTTTGGCCAAACTCTCGCATAGTTGCCATGCACAAGTTTTTAAATCTAATTAAAAAAAATGAAACAAAATAGAGTCAACATAAGTAAACAATAGAAATAATATTCATTGATCATTGATCTATTTTTTCCTCTAAACGCATGTTTCATCTATTAATGTTACGTGTACTTCCCTGATGGACATTTCGAACCATCCAATAATGAATGACATGGTGTCCATCTACAAGCTATAGAGATAAATTGAAAAACATAAAGATATAAAAATATGTAAGATCAATTATGTTTCGTTCTATAAAGTACGAACGTGTTAGAGAATAAATTCGATATATAACAACAGCAAAATAAGAAACGAAAAGATAAATAAGAACAAAAACCGTCGCTAAACTGCTCACAAAAAATGAGATCTAGAAACGTGCCTGAAAATAAACAAGTTCAAATTATCTAAAGATTGCGCACATGCGAGAGAGACAATAAAAACAAAAAAAAACCAATTACTTTTTTCCAGTTTTGAACAATGAAATGATTTATAGATAAAAGAAATCGTAAAAAATAGACTTACTATATCTTTTTCTTTTACTATCAACAATCGAAGTACATACTAATAAAGTTCAATTTCTTTCATTATCAAATAGGTGATAGTTTATCATTTAGAAAAAAAAGAATTTTAAAATAAGTAGTTCATTATGACTTGAGGATACATATTACTATTGGATTTTTCACACATTCTAAGAGATTTTTTGAAATGAGTTCCTTAAGTGTCTATCGATAAAAAAAGCACATAATATTCTTCACGACATACAAAAAAAAATTCTTGAACATTTCTCTTGAGATGAAACTTTTCTTAAGTAGATTTTAGTATTTCAAAGATTTTTCTTCGACTATTAAAAATGAAGAACATACAGACAATATATGTTAATTTTCTCGAAATTCAAGACTGAATGATTTGAAGCTTTTATAGATCTAAAGAATAATCTCATCTCTACTTGAATTTTGCAAAATAATTTACCTTTTTTTTTTTTGTCTTACTTACTCGACTGACCACAGAAACTTGAATAAATACCAGTTTTCTGACTCATTGGTTGAGTATCAGCCGTTTTAATAAAGCATTCACGAGTTGCTGGAATATAGGTACATTTAACCGCATCAAGTGACTGTTCACATTTTGCCATACAATCAAAAATCTGTGGTACATTATAATATATTTTTGCATCACCACCCCAATAATCTTGTCCCATCATTAATGTTTTACAACGTATTCCATTCGGTACTAAAAAAAAATCAAGAGAGAAATAACATTTATTCGAATTGTAAAACTTTATTGAATATTGTATTTACTTTGAACTATAGGTGTCAACACTTGGCCAGTAATTACACCATTATCATCATTTGCAATACCATTTGTCACGCCTTTTAAATAACAATCTTTTGTATTTGGCCTATAACTATAAGCAAAACAACCTGGAGTTTTATCACATTTCGTAAAAATACAATCATATAATGTTTGTACATTAGGTATTGGATTAAATGGTGCGATATCATAGCCAACATAATCTTTACCGACGAGAGTTTCGAAAAATTTAGCTAAAAATAGAATAAAATTAAGCATCAAAAAATACAACTATTAAACATTAAAATTAGATATTCAGTTTTGTTACTTACCACAACTACCACTAACACATGAATTATCATCATTTAGTGCATATGCTTCTACTGTTTTCAACCAACAATCATGATTATTTTTATTCCATGTCCATTTTGAACACTGTGGTAAATTATTACATTTATCAATACATTCTTCAAGCTGTAAATTACGAATTGGATTATAAGATGCAATATCACCAAATATTTGATTTTTATTATGTAACCGTTCAGTACATCTCTTTGGTGCTAGAAGAGAACAGTAACACTCATAGTAGAGTTCGGAATTCATCTTACAGATGAAAAAAATTAATATTTCAAATAGAATAACGAAAGCTGAGCATGTGTATTACATGAAAATATCAGTCATTACATTGACGATCTTTCGAAACGATAGTTATCAATATCACCATCATTCTCGAAAAATGTAATAGCTGATGTCAGTAGAGTCCTATGACCAAAAACAAAAGAAAATAGAATCTCATTTTGTTCATGATAGGAAATGGCTAATTATGCATGTTCTTCTGGTGTATACTGTGATATAGTAAACTAAAATCTAGGTTTTTTTTTTATAAAACAGCTTGTAAAGTTCGAAAACTACTACGAAAATTTATGAAAATCTACCACATAAAAGGAAAATAGAATTTTTAAACATTTCACTTCCTAGCTCGGTTATCTTTCAATACATTTATAAACAATAGTATAGTTCTGTATTTTTAAAATGACTTACCTGATGGAGGAGAACATTTACCACTAGTTATTATACTATTGTCAACAGGTGAACTACTCATTGGATACTTTAAAAAACATGCCCGATCAGTAGAACGAAATGCCCACGTGTAACAATCATTTGTTTGCTCACATTTCTGTCGGCATGCTTCAGCTGTTTGTAAACCAGATAAAGGACTATATGATGGTATATCCCAACCTGGATAATCTTTTCCTGACAGTATTTCATTACATCTTTGTTGAACTAGAAATAGAATGAAAAAAAAATATCAATAACGATATACTGAACAAAAAGAAAAATAGAGAAGACTCATCAGAAACTCCATAATACATACCTGAATTTCTGACTTTTAAAATAAGAATAGTAACGAACAGTATCAATGGTATAACTTGCATTGTGCAGAGAGTATGTTTTTTTTTTACTAGTACTTGATACTACTACTATAATCGAAAGATGTGACCTGCAGCTATGCTTAAGTTTTGTATATTCGTTGACTACCACGCAAAAAAAAAGTGGCGAAAAAATATCTTCTTTTGATTGGTGATGGGAGAGATAGATTTATTTTTTGCTCTGAGAGAGTGATTTTTTTTTCGACTAGGTAGAGGTGCCTACCATCAACATTGTAGAGGAAAATGGTGTATATATTTTTCTAGTTTTATCTTTCTATTCACTTGAAAACTTGAGCCCTCTCTGCATTTACGTAGTCTTTTTCGTCTTGTTTTTTTATCTAATCACCCATGACTGTCAATAACGAAAACAATCTATTGATCAATGATTATTCATGCATTACATTTATTTAGCTACAAAACATTGTTTATATTGTCCAAATAAAAAACAACGTCTCTTATTGGCTTCCCTCATTTGTTACCTGAGAGAAAAAAAATATCAACATAGTAACTTTAAGTAAAAATCACTGTCATATCCATCACAAGAAGACAATATCATAGAGAGTATACCGAGTATGACAAAAGTTTTATGACATCTCATAAAAATATATTTATTTAAAGAAAAAACAAAATAATAAAATAACAATAATATATTTCAAGAGCTACAATAGAGTACTACTAGAGTTAACTATATTAATTCATAATCAATTCATCTTCAAAGTTTTTTCACTGAATACACTCTTCGAAGGAAAGCACCAATTACTTCCCGTATATAAGTAATATCAATATTCTTTATCGCTTTTTCAATTTTTCAACGCAAATCGTTATTTTTTTTCACTTTATGGTATTCCACATGGTTGAAGATGTTATCCAAGATAGAATAATATAATGGATTAAGTTCTGGAAAATTTGGTGACCACTCTTTTTTTTATTGAAATGAAGAATTTGCGAGGTTTCTTTCACACTATTCTTGGGCTTTTTGATCAGTATGAGAGCTAGACTTATCCCGCTGGAAGCGGCAGTTTTGCTGTTCAAATAGTCGATCACCCTCCTTTTTATAAAATGGTAATAATTGATCATAATAATTTTTGCCACTCAGTCGTTCTTCTTATTAAGGGCCCCTCAGCAACGATTTCTCACTTGGAATAATACATTTGATCTGGAGGAATTTTCAGGGATGAGTGATCCCGATGAGATACACTTCTGTTAAAAATTTCAGCTTGATTGGTCACACTAAACCGGAATATCCAGCTTATTCACGGGTCATTTTTAGTCTTCAGGAGAATTGATATAACTTCGTCGCAAGATTAGGTAGACAGCTCGAGGTGGTTTCAGATTAAAGCTAATATCAGTGCACAACTTTTGTCTGAACAGAATTTTGAAATTCAATTTCATTCATTTTTTACGAGCATTTTTGGTGACATAGTCTAAAAATCAGCATAAAAAATGGTGGTTTAACGACAGTAAATTTCCAATTTTCTCAGTCCAGGAATCAACTATAAAAAAGGGCGTGAGTGTGGGTGTGGGAGTGGGTGGGTGTACTGTGTGTGAAGACAATACATACACCCACATCCACACCCCACACCTTCACTTGACACATTGTTCTTTCTCTATCAAATTTATCACACTCAGTTCTCAGCGACGATCGACTTTGGAAATGAATTTTTTTCAAGAAGAACTATTCACAAGATAGTATCCGATGAAAAGAATTGTAATCATCAATTGTGTATTGTGCAATATTAAAACGAAATGGTCGGAATTTACATGGACTTCAGAGCAATGTTTGAGGATTAATAATGGTTAAAAATCAGCACATGAATTTGAAATCGAATTTTATCTAATCAATAACCGAAAGACATTTAATACCTTCAGAAGAACATCTTGGCAAAGTTTTTCATGATTAAACTTCTGTCAATTCAAATTACTGTAAATTATGATTTAACTGGACTGTAAAAATCAAGTTCTGTGAAATCTTTTACAAGAGATTTGATCATCTATTCTTCTTTCTTGAACGCAACCAGATAATAATTCAAACTATAGATATTCTATTTATTCTTCTGTCATTATATCAGAAACAACACCTTAAAATGACAGAGCATATGAAACACAACAAAACAATCCATTTAGTTTAAGAATAAATAAATTTACAAACATGATCTATCTTGCTGTGGTATATTTTCTTGTTTTTAACATATGCACCGATTTGAACTTGATCAATGCATGTTTATTGTTGATAAATAGCTCGAATTTCCATAATCGACAAGCATCGCTTGAAAGCAACAAGATTGGCGATACGAACTTCAATCGATGATTGCATTGAATAACTGTTTATCTTGCAATTCAGCTAAAATTGCATTGGAAGAAGAACTTCTCATAGTATGTATATTCCACGTTCGATGCAGATCGAAGTTTTTCAAATCTTGTCCATTGATTCATATGCGATAGCTAGTTCGTGATTCAATGTTGGCTAAAACCATGTGTATCCACTGATCATCCAACAGTATTTGCTTCCCATTGTTGATATTCATTTTGTGATTAGCACGGAGACAGCTGTGTAAGTCTAGAACATAATTATATCCGATTTGTACAACTAATTCAAATTCACGAGGTAAGAAGAACCAAAAGGAAAATGAATGAAACCTGTCAAAAAGTGATGAAGGATACTTCTGGGTGTGGGTGTGTGAATGTGGCTGTGGGTGTCGATGTTCTAATGATCTCTTCCAACACCCTCATCCACACCCACACCAATCTAAAGACAATGTCATTGAAAATTGAATATCTGAAAATAAATTTGAGCAATTGATTTGAAATTGGCTACAGAAAACTTAGACGTTGATGTACTTCTAGCCAATGTGGTCCCGATCCAATTGGAGTAAGTTTGTTTGAGTATCGTAGGCCGTAGGTAATATAAAATGGCTGATCAACCAATGAAGAGCGTTTGATTGTATTATTAATTCTTGTAAAACTTTTTTAAAATGAATCTAAGGTACTAGTAATTTAAAATTACAATAGATTCAATTTTTAGGTCAGATCACACCCACACTCACACTCACATACCGCATTCACAATCTTTTTAGCAAAAATTCGAAATTAATATTCTTTCTTCACGATAAATTATTTTTTTTTATCACCTTGAATCAAAGAATCTTCATCGAAAACATACAATGAGTGGCTATTGTCATTAACTTTCATTCTTATATCTTGTTTTTGTCAAAGCTAATCTACTAGATTCAACTATTTTACTTCTACACGCGCATACTTGATATTTACTTCTAGATAAAATAAAAATGACAAAGACAAGAAAAAAGATTCAAGGAAAGATTCTCTTTTCTTTTATATTCAAACATTGATAAGAACAAAAAAAATCAACCGCTTTAAATATACTTTGTATGCAACATTTTATCATCGAAAGTTTACTTTAAGGACGTATGAAAAGCATAGTATTAGTTTATCTACTATTTATTACTGTTGCTCATAGTCACTCAGCTTGTGATGAAATATCATTTGTTACTCGAATTGCATGAGGTGCACGAGAACCAACTTTAATAACAAATCTAACATTCAAACCTCTTTCATTCTTTGTTATTCATCATGTTGAGGACCCTCCAAGGTAGATGAATTCCATTATAAGATAATGCAACATAGTTATTTTATGATTCATAGTTGTTATGATGATAAATCATGAATTGAACGAGTGAAAGAGATTCAAATTTTTCATT